TTGAGAGCCTTTATCCTGGGATGAGGTTGATTTATGGCAGGAGAATCATAGGAGGTTCACAGAACGTTCTGAGTTGAAAGGGACCCACAAGGCTCATTGAATCCAACTCCTGTTGGTTACTCCTGTAGTTACAATGCAAGGCATTAATAGAAATGACAGTGATAAGTGATCTTCTTCTATAACTGCACTTGGCAATATCTCTTAAATTTTTCATTTTCTTTTGGTTGAATGGGAGGAACTGTTTTTTTAGGTTTTTGGTGGGTTTTTTTTTGTTTGTTTGTTTGTTTGGTTTTGGTTTTCTTTTTTTTTTTTTTTTGTCTTTTAATGCAATTGTGTCCTCTTGTTTGGGGACTTGAGCTGGTTTTCCCATTTTATTCCTATTATCTTAGTGAATAGACTGTCCAGTGAAAAGGATGATTTCCCTTGGACCCCTTCACCTCTTTTTGCAATTTGAATGACCCTTTGGAAGGTGCTGCTGGGTGAAATTTACCCAACAGGGACTGCAGATCCCCTCCACAGCAGGCCTGCTGCATTTGTGTCTGAGAGCACCTGTGGATGGCTGAATCAAAACCATGTCCCTGACATGCCAGATCCCTGTCTGCCTGTGGAGGTGGCTGGAGACAGGAGTTGGGAAATGTCTTGTGTCCCAATCACATGTGTTCATTATCCAGTAACTCCTGCACTGAGGGATGGAGTGGTTGAGCTTTCTGTCCCACTCCAGGGCTGGAGGTTGAGGTAAGAGCAAAAGATCATGAGCTCCCAAAATGCTTTTGGATGTAAAGTTTAGTGAATTAGACAGTAGGAAATACACTGGATGTATTTGTTCTTATTTGAAAAAAACCCCAACTGTATAAAGTAATGTCTGATTTAAATGCATACAATCAAACCTGAGGCAAACTGAAATTTGGCTTTTCACTTCCCCATCCCTTCACATTATAGATGTTTCAGGGAGTCACCAGAAAAGCCTTAGACAAAGGAGAGATTCAGAAATATCTTTGACTTTTATGGACCTTTTCATTAAAATGCTTAGAGCTGTAAATGTAGAATTGAGAAATTCATTTATCTTTACAAAAGTGCTGCTATCCTGCACTCATAAAATAGTCTTTTAAATTATTGTTTCTGCTTGTATCAATAAATCCATACAAAATGCTTAAAGGTCAAGCATTGCCAGAAAAATGTCTTTTCAGCTTGTTAATTAGGAGTTTATGAGAATGTGCACAACCTTGCTCTTTGGATAAACTGGAAAAGAAGGAGAAAAGTAAAAAGTCCCCATGGATAAAAACGATAGTGTGGAATTAGTGAGTGGCAAGTCTTTGCTCCATCAGGCTCACCATGGCCTGGACAATCGGGGCATGAAAACAGGAGGAACAAAAGTTTATTTTTCTGTTTCTTGGGGAGGTATCTTGATTAGTAACCTCCTGAGGCCCACGGGCTTGAGCTGAGAGCCCAACTTGAGCTGATGTATGAAGGGGAGTGTGAGCAGGATCTGACATGTCATAGCTTGAGCCATGGGAAATTTGTCCAGTTCTCATTGTGTGGCCGAGGGCATCAGATAAAGACACTTATGTTTTTATTTCCCGTTTATTTTTCCTATGTTTATGTACAGCTTGAACAAGAACAAATCAGTGTAAATTGTACCCAGAGACAAACTGCCCAACCACCCATTCTGGCACCTCCTTCATTGCAGAGAGCACAACTGGGATTCCCTGTTTCATACTTCACTTCTTTCACTCATTGTCATGGGGACATCCTGGTCTGCCTAAAAATTAGGCCACTTGGTTGAAGGTCTCCATGCATGGATGAGATGAAGTTAATCAGTCACATGGATTAGACACTGGAATTTCCAGCTGCACAACAATCTAGCCCTGACCATTATCATTTTACCTCTAAATCTAGACTTTTTTAATCACTAAAATGGAGACAATAATACTGACCTAGGCAAAGTACCCAGACATAAGAGATGAAATGTGTTACAGGAAAAGTACAGAGGTTATCGAATTCTTGAATAGCTGGAACCATTTCTTTCCCAAGCTGGGAAATAGTAACAAAACAATGTAAATAGTGAAAAATAAAATAGATTCTTACATCTCTCTCTGTCTGAACATACTGACCATCTCATGCTAATATTAACATGAGATTGAAGTTCTGATTTTTTCCTTGGCCATATGATTTCTATACTGAGATTGTTTCCTTGAATATTCAATAACAGATCCTTACTATAAAATCATTTGTAAAGGGAAGGCTGCATCTTTGTCACTGAAAATTTCATAACTTAAGAGTGCCATTATTTGGTTTTGTACTTTTGTGTTTGCTGCAGAACTGCTCCTTCAGGAAATAAATCTGATTAAATTTTTGAAAGTGCAAGTGACAAAAGTGACAGTAGTTCATTTCTCCACTACCCACAGATGATTCCTCCTGACTTTGCCTTCAAGTGAAGCTGAGGAAACAGTGCAGAGTAGTTTTGTCGTGTTTCTTATTTGTTCTCTCATTTCTTTTGTCTCAATCATTCACTGTTTTGAAACCTGAACCATAATTGGCCCAGCAGTGCACCCAGGGGCTGACAGGACCTCCTTCCTCGCAGGACAGACAGTCATTCTGTTCTAGATGCTTGGTTGGTTTTTTATTCCCTGGAGATATTTAAAGTAGTACAAGAGAAGAGCTTTTTTGCTCAGACATGGAGTTTTTTATGCATCTTAACAATTGATCACTCTATCTTACTTAACATCTTAGTAATTTGACTCTTATCTTTATAATCAGTTCCCAATTTCATTCAGTGTCGACTCTTTGTATTTTAATGGCATCACAGAATCATTAAGGTTGGAAAAGACATCCAAGATCATCAAGTGCAGCCTTGGACTGAACACCACCATGCCAACCACCGTGTATTCTGCTGTCCAGTTTGGACATCTTTGCAAATCCTTGTGTATCTGTAGGAATAGGAATATTAGAATGTGTGTTTGCAAGGTCAGAGGCAGCAGCCTTTAAAGCACAACTTTCCAGAAGGCAGAACTTTTTGTTTCTAACTTTCTGTAGAGGGTATCTGTGCAGCCCAGGAGAAGCAGTGGTGGCCCTGGTATTTCCAAGTAGACCTTGGACTTCACTTGTGGTAAAAGAAATCTTATTTGGGACAGCAGGAAAATATAGATCCTATGTGTGATAAACTTTCTGTAGCATGAATTGGAAAGTTCACTTTGGTATTTACCCTAAAAAATCTGAATCTGGGCTGAATTGATTACAGTTTGTTCCAATATTAAGCAGGAAGTTGTGATGAATCTAATAAATGCCCACAGCAGTAGGTGGCAGCTGTGGCAGCTTAATTTCTCCTTCTCCCCAGAATGCAGTAGCTCATCATGGTATTCTTGCTGATGTGTGAGGGCAGTGAAGTTTTTCAGCCAGATCCTTCCTCTTGTTTTCAGTCCATGTATCACCCCATAAGGAAACTGTGGCAGAAATACCCCCTTCTGTTCCTCACCCTGCTGCCAGATCCTTAATTTCTAAAGGAAAGTGTAGCTTACTTGTGTTGTCATCCATGGATGGAAATATGGAAATGCTGCTCTCTCAGCCCCCCTTTCCCTCTTCTCTTGGCTTGAGACAGAATTTTAATGGAGTATATTTTTCCATGGATAATCCAGGGCACTGGTAATCCACGAGTACTCAAGAAAAATTGTCTTGCATGTTTTTAACTGTTCAGCTCTCCTTGTTGTTTTAATCAGACAAATCCTCAAATGTTAATCTTTCCTGAATATGCAGCATCACACCCCCAAATGTCTCTGACAGGAGTAGCAGAGGTAAAAAATATAAATGCTGTAGGAGAAGTTTATTAAGAATATTCTGCCTGAATACACTTGTTATTTCTCATCAAACACTGGAGACAGAATGAAATAGACTGTTTTGCCACTCTGTGGGTGAGGTCTGAGGAGAACATATCAGTATGGATATGACACAGTTTCACTTTCCTTGAGCTGATTATGTTATAGTTTCTTTTCTACTGACAAATTTCATTACCAGATTGAGGTAATAATAGCATATTTTATCTTGCTGGCTGTGATCCAAACTCTTGGTTTACAGCAGAGTTAAATTTAGAGAAATTGAGTTGAATCTATATTTTTCTCCATATTAGCTATTTCTAACAGCCTGGTAAGATTCTCTGTTTGGTGACTAAGTGTCTCTTGCTGTTATAATGACAGTCATATGCTTGCTTATATTTCTGTGTCATCCCAACAGTGATAACAAAATGCTAGATAAAAGTTACAAAACCTTGCCCAAAGAATATTGGCCAGTAAACCAAAGTATTTTTAGAACTTTTGGTTAGAAGCTGTGGCTTCCCCATCCCTGGAAATGTCCAAGGCCATATTGGATGGAGCTTGGAGCAACCTGGTCTGGTGGAAAGTGCCCCTGCCCATGCTGGGGGGTGAAATTGGGTGATCTTTAAGGTCCCTTCCAATCCAAGCCATTCCATGATTTTGTGAATTGAAACCAGGGATGAAAGACATTGAATGGGAAAAGTTAGCTGTCTTCTTTACATATATGGCCCAATCATAAATTTATAAGTTATCTGCTTTTTCCATCCTATCTTAAATAAGCTTTGAATAAATTTGGTGTACAACTAAGAAGAGGGTGAGTAACAAAAATAAGCATGGGTAGTAATAAATGCTCTGTTGGCCCAAATGGGTGTCAGCTGAATGTTGTGTGGCAGTGTGCTGTAGTAGATTTATAGGCAGCTTTCCATTTTAATAATTCAGTATTTACTATTTCCTGAGGCACAGCAAATATCTCTTTGTGACCCTGGCTGCCATGAAATGCATCATTGTACCAATACACATCACTGTGGTGCATTTCAGATCTTTTTTGAAAACAGTTTGGTGCCTCCTAGAGAGCCTTCAGCCAGGGCAGCTGGGAAGAGAAAAAGAGCTGGAAGGGAACTGCTGGCTCAGAGAGATTCTGTCTGGGAAAGCTTTACGATTGTTTTAAGCTGTGTTCAAATGTTTTTCTTCCAACAGGCTTTGGGAACTATCACTGCAGTGCCCATTAAGGTTCCTCAGGTCAGCTCCTTGCAGAGGTTGGCAGGACAAGGACCAGCAGTGCTACCTCAGGTACAAAATACACTTTCAAAGAGGGGGTTGTGTCATTTTGTACATATTCTCTGCTTCTGTCTACTGCCCAGGCCTGGGTGCATCAGCACACTGACTTTGCAGAGTTGTGTTTTTCTTCAGTCCATGAAAAACATAATTCTTCTGGGTGTGTACTGATAGCACAATGAAAAGCTATAAAAAGTAATGCAGATTCATTGTGGAAGAGCAAAATACATATGGTGGAATGTAAATTTATGCTTTAAAGTTGAATCACAAATCAAACTGAAAATCTGCAATTCTGTAATTAAAAGAACTGGTGGCAGTGTTAACCTTCCTGTTCAAGATCTAACCCCACGTTCTGTTTCACTGACTTATTTGCCTTGTCTATCCCAATACAAAGTTTTGGCCCAGCTAACCCAGGTGCCAGACTGAGGAAAGATTCTCTGAGCAAGAGTGAAAGGAGAGTTGCACTCACTGTTTTTTAAAATGTTTCAAACTGTCTTCTTTTCTGAACACCAATCACTGTTTCTATAACTATGCACTTTATTCCCCATATCAATCCTCTTTCTCAAAATTTTTGGATGTCATTTTCAATAGGTGTTTTGCTGCAGTTCTATGGTTTGCTCTTCACATTAATGATTATTAAGTATAAATATATGTCTCCCACTGTGGCCCTCACTGCTCTGGTCCAGGAAAACTAGAAACTTCATATGGAAATATAAAAATTCCAGGAAGCAAGGGCATGTGATACCACACAGGTATTATGGTAAAAAGCATCTCCTCCTTCTTCCTTGTAGTGTTGTGAAAACAAGCACCTAATAAAAAATTATTTTGGAAATTAAGAGGTGTATATTATCTTCCAGTAGGAGCTGGAAATGGCGCAGAATTAAACCCAGTCACAGTCCATGTCCTCAGTTTCATTCATCAGACTTGGTCACTGACCAGGCTGGCCACTAACCTCCTTCTGTCCCCATGGGTGACAGGCAAGGCCCCATACCTTGCTCTGAGTTACTGGCACAATCCTGCCATTCTAGGGCTGCCTTTCAGAGATGAAAATTCCCATCTCCTAAGCATACCAACAAGTTGAGTCCAGCTGGGTTTGGCACCTGCTGAAACCTTTACTTTGTTTGCCTATGTAACAGCAAATTACTGGGACAGCAGAACCGTATTCATCACTCCTCTACCAATAATTTGGAATATTTCACAGGGAATGAAAGCAGTGTCCAGACTCAGATGTTATCTGTGGCTCAGTTTTGTTCTGGAAGGTATAGAACCTTCCTCAGCCTTCATCTCTGCCAAGTCTAGTTGTGACAGTGAAGTTGTGACAAATCTAGTTATGACAATAACTAAAAAAAAGGACACCAACTGCTCCCTGGCATTTCTCCTTTTGGCCAGTCTCATTATTTCTTTGGGATTCAAATTCTCTTCAGATTTACAGATAGGCATAAATATTACCATGCTGGCTGGACAGAAAGAGGAGGCTCCTCCATTTTGAGGCCTCATCATGTCTAAAGGGGTTTTATATATTTGACACTTCAGCGCTCCTCATCTTGACAGCCTCTTTTGATTTACCCCTATGCAAACAAAATCATACCACAGAAGTAAAATAAGGTATTTAACAAGAGTTACATAAAATAATGCATACAGCTCCCTCATTTTCCACATTAGTAGAGATACTTGTCATTTGTTTTGTTCATTTAAATGGGTTTATGATATGACCCCCTGGAAGCTTTTCCATCTGGGGAATGAAGTTTCAAAATTTGCACATTCACAAGTGGCAGCAAAATCCCATCACTTAGAACTGCTAATTAAGCGGTGAGCAAACAAACATTACTTACAAGTTCTTTGCGCAATACAAACAATATTTTGGGCATTCATTATTTGCCAAAACAAGCTTCTTTGGCAGACATTTGTGGGGTTTTTGGTGTTTGGTGTTTTTTTTTGTTTTGTTTTGGGTTTTTTTTTGTTTGGTTGTTTGTTTGGTTAGTTTTTTCCTAAATATGAAGGTATTTTTGCTTTCATCAAATAAGTGAGCTGTGATGTCTGAGAAGCTAATTCCAGATAGCCTTTCTCTTCTTTGGTCTTTGAGGTCTCCAGCTGAGTAAGATGCTTTGAAACTGCAGACTCTCCACTGCGCTCTAAGAAGAAAATCCTGGAGGTCCTCTCCTTAAACACTGTGTTACTCTGGAACTATTCCTCTTTCTTATGGCACCATCTGCTCTAAGGAGGGGGTGGCATTCTCTCAGGTTGAGTTCCAAGATCCAGCTGCAGAGCAAATATTCTGCTTATTTTGAACCGGTTTACAGACAAATCTAAGTTGCATTGTAGCCACCTAGAGGTACATGTGAATGTGATTTTCTGTGCTTCAACAGGAAGATTTTAAGTGAAAAGGTAAAAATATTAAAATAAATCCCCTGTTTTATTGCCAGTAATTTGGGCCTAGTCCAGTCCTCACTCAAATTAATGGAGAAACTGTGATATTTTGAATGGCAGTTAGGTCAGAGAGATAGAATTGTAATCTGATTTATCTTTCCATGGTGGTTGAAGGCACAGTTTGGGATGGCTTTGCTCATGACACTGCTGCTTCGAACAGAGCAGTGTCTGCATTGGAGGGATCACACAGGTTAGTGGTGAAAACAAACAGGTACTCACAGGGCCTCAGGTGAAATATGTATGTGTCAGCCAACTCTGCCAAGTTCTGCTGTCAGACGCTGCCTAGATTTTATCTTCTGCAGTGACTTTATGCTTAGGTTGGAAATGAGTGTGTGGCAGTTATCTTCTGTTAATTGGGCAGTTTTCTTTATCTCTTCCACAACCCATCCTCCCTGCTGGGAGATATTTTCTGTTCATGGGCCATTGAGTGTCACTGCATGGCTGTTAAAATTACATCATCCCATTGGGAGATGCTCTGCCCCGAGGGAGAAGCCAAGCATTCCTACCTGGATGCAATCTGAGATTTGGAACACCACAGCAGCCTTTTCCACTGGATTCCCAGAGGAAGACCAAGCCAATCTACACCACCACAGGACCTTCAGGGGAATACTCCTCCTTTCTACAGGATCCCTGCTCCAACAGGATCCCTGCTCACTCCAGGAGGGCTGCAGCCACCATTTAATGGGAGTGCTACCAACACCCTGACCAACAGGGTGTCAGGTCTATTCTGACTCTGTCAATGTTGTATTGTATTACTACATTGTTTATTTTATTTTTATTTTCTTTTCTTCCCTAGTGAAGTACTGTTATTCATGCTCCCATATCTTTGATGAGAGCCCCCTTAATTTCAAAATTATAACAATTTGCGGAGAGGGTTTTACATTTTCCATTTCAGGAGAGGCTTCTGCCTTCCTTAGCAGACACCTGTCCTTTCAAACCTTGACACTTTAATGTGTGTCTGAATGTGGTCACTGGGCTGCCCTGGGACAAGCTCTGTTGTCTTGGTTTGTGTTTATTCTTCACTGGGTACCGTGTGAGCCCAGAAAGAGTCCCCACATGTTCCCAAATGTTAAAAACACAGTCCTATTTTAAAATTTCATGTCATAGTTCTCATGAGCACATTTCTACTGGTAGTTGCTGCTTCTCTTCACATGTGTACCAAACTCAGGTACTGCTCCTGGCTTCCTTAGTAGTAGGGCTTCTGGAAGATTTCTTGGAAGGAAAACAACTCCTAGAAACAGACATAAGTTTTGGGATGCCACTGTGTACTGTAGAAGAAATAGGCTGATCTGTGGCAAAGTTGGTCTGCCGCTCCCAGTGCCGGGATGGCCCCTCCAGCAGCCACCTCCCTACACCTCAAAAGAAAAAAGAGGAATTGTACATGCTTTTTCTTTCTTAAATATGTCATCACAGATGTGTCACTAACTGCATCAATTGGCTTAGCAGCATGTCTGTTTTCAGAGCCAGCCTGCTATTGGTTTGTCAGGCATGCAGCTTCTAGCAGCTTCCCACAGAAAAATCACTTCTGTGGCTGGCTTCTTCCCTCCTCACCAAAAAAACCAAGCCATGTAAAACCAATCCAGTGTTCAAAACATTGATAACATTTTTAATAAAGAGCTCCCACCTGACTGCCTTATGCCGACCTCCACAAAAAGCAGAGCTGGCAGATTCCCACTCAAACGTCCTTCTCAGCAAAACATCCATTTCTGTAGCATCAAGCAAAGATGAAGGAGAAGAAAAACTAAGTTAGATTGTTTTGCCTTCTTAAAAAAACTGCCCAGGAGTTCTATTAGCTGCATGTCACCTTTACATTTAAGTTAGCAGTCCATGACTAACAACTGAAATACCAAATCATGGCAGGTACACAGCACCTGGGAGATGCCTGATGGAGTGTGTGCAATTTGAACACATGTGAAAATACTGCTGAGTGACTCCTGGGTGGTGGTGTGTGTAAACTGAGAGACCAGGCTTTGTTTCGAGGGGCTTATTACAGTTCTGCCCTTGCTGAAGTTCTGCTCAATTTTGCTCAATTTTGTTGTGATCAGATTAAGGTTTCTTCCCTGGTCTGCTCCATCCAGAATAGCAGGATTGAAAATGTGGGCTGGAGCTGCTTCTTGGGTTCTGCCCTGAATTTCACAACATCCTTCTGTAGGTTCACAGGCTAATATTCCAGGGATATGCTAAAGAGAGGCCTAAGTTGTATGTGAACATGGGATTCACTTATTCTGGGTCATCTTGCCTGGGCTTTCCACAATGAAGAGTAACTTCTTTTTTATGTAGCCCCATCAAGGGGAAGGAAGAAAAGAAAGAAATCTTCCCTGTGGGAAGAAAATAAACTGTGTTTATTTTGACAGTGGTCCTAGAGCAGGCTGAAGATAATAGGAGCTTATTGGGAAAGGAACTAAAAATGAACCAAGCTGCAAATACTTGTATTTGAGTGAATGGGGCAACCTGGATTTTAGGGAGTGTCATTGCTGTAAATTTAAGGAGAAATTTTTTTTTGCCTAATTTTTACTGATCAAAAAAGAAGAGGGAGGGAGTCAGTTCTCAGCTGGCACAAATAGACCCAGCTTTATTGAAGTCAGTGT